CCCTCTTCATAGGGCCCTACAACGGCAGATTTCCTCTGAAAGAGATGCCCCTTTGGGAGACAATCGTTTGAAGATCTTGCAACGTGCCAAAGAAGCATTCTCGTGACTAACGCCACGAGTGAACTTGACTGTTGCGTCTTGACGATCCTGCGTCGTGCCAGCACACTAGTTGTTTGGATGTCAACACCGCGAATCAGCGTATCTGTTGCGCCCTGGCAATCGCACGTCGATCCGAAACACAGCTTCTGGTAGGCTAACCACGGGAATTCGTGAAACTCTTGCACATGTTTCAGGCGAGTGTGCGCAGCGCTCAGGCGAGAGCCACATTTTGAGTACCACCCGCCCTCAATCCGTGAAGCTCTTGCGAGATTCTGAGACGAGTGTGCGCGGCGCTGAGGCGAGAACCGCATTTTGAAAGCGACCCGCCCTGCATCCGTGAAGCTGTTGACAATCTTTAAGCTCCAGGGTCATAAATGGCGAGGAAGCCTCAGGCGAAACGCCCTGCCCGCCCTTTCGACCAGCCTCGAGGGGCGACAGGGAGGAGTTATAGGAATGGAGGAGGAGGAAGAGGAGGAGGAGGAGGAGGAGTTATGTATATTACGATTGCGTCGTTCGCGAATGAAGCTATGAGCTCGCTCGACATCAAATTCCAAGACAAGTCAGACGCAACAATATGCAGAGTCTGAATAACAAATGAGCTGACTATTGAAGACTTCTGCAAACACATGCATACATGCAGGCGAGAAAAAACGTTTATGACAGTAAACATTTGAAATGAGTCACTGGGATGGTTGCAGCCGCGATCGAAAGCTGGCCAACACACCTGTGCGGGAAACAGCCTAACCTTGGCTTGGCGCTCTAGCTCACGCATGACAGTCACATCCGCCATCACCGGGCCCCGGGACGTTCAATGCTTTTGGATAGAACCTCATGGATACAGGCGAGACAAAGCTTATACAATCCTGCAGCATGCCAATGCGATGCTTGCCGTCTTGGACAGCATGCTGACGAACCCACTTGTGCGAGAACAGCTTTAATATCGCTTGGGTCGAGCCTGGGGTGGCGCTCTAGTCTAGCTCACGCAGAGCAACCACCTCCGCCACCACATGCCCCCGCAGAGATGAGTAAACCAGGAGTCACACCTTTTTTCAATGAGTCACTAACGGATGCGAAATGTCGTGTTTCCAAGAGTACGGAGGCAATCACATTTGCTTGCAACCTTGATCCCCTTCGTTGTGTCGGGCGGCAGCGGACCAATCTATCACAGCCGTTCCACGAGGAATGAAAGAAGTTGGCGGCGCACCCCGAATGAGGTCTGCACCATGTTGAAGTCTCGCACGGGCTTCGCTGGACTCCCAGCTCGGAGCGGATGCCTCGGATCGAGCCACCACGGGGGCCCTCTCGGGCGTCCCGAGCAGCTGTTCGGCAGCGCCCTCAACCAGGACAGGATCTTCAAGCCAGGCGCGGGATTCAAGAGCACGAGCTTCCCCCCACTCTGCTCTTGCTGAGCTGCGCTGGGCCGAGGCGTCCGCGGGGCCTTGACGAGCAGTGCCCCTTTCGCCTTCGAAGCGCTCAGCCGAGGCGCCCGAGGGGCCTTCATGATCAGTGCCCTCTGCGACTTCGGCGTCTTGGGAAACTCCTGCACACAGAACTGTCGACCCTTCCACCGCCTCAACTTGCGGGGGAGACACGGCCGCGCACCCTGTGAGCAGAACAGCGCCGCAGCGCCGCAGGTGCACAGCGTTCCGGGCAACGGCAGCTGCTTCCAGCACCCTGCGGGTGGGTGCCGCCGCTGCGGTTGACTCCAGACGGTGGATTTCGGCGGTGAGCCCGGGGGGGGGGAAGTGAGGAGCCCGGAGGGTGGGGGATCAAGAAGCGAAATTCCAGGTTCGAGGTTCGAGGATCGAGGTTCGAGGGTCGAGGGTCGAGGGAGGATCCACGAACCACCAGCACGCTCGGCGCGAGCGCCTTCTGCTTCCAGCACCCTGCGGCGGGGTCAAGAGCCTTCGCATCCGCCCGCAAGGTCGGGAGCTCGCTCGCCTCCTCAGCGCACGCCTTGCCCACGAAAGCAATCCAGGACAGAGGAATGCCACACGTTGCCCTCCAACATGTCGAGGGCCGGAGGAGGAGGAGGAGGAGGAGGAGGAGGAGGAGGAGGAGGAGGACGAGGACGAGGACGAGGAGGAGGACGAGGACGGGTGGGTGGGGAGGAGTAGGAGGAGGAGCAGGAGGAGGACCAGTGTGAGCCCAAGAGTCATTCAACGGTATTGCAATCAACCCTTCCTCCAAGTTCCCTCTTAGGCCTCTGTAAGGATTCATTTTCACTGAGGGAAGTGCCCCGTCGGAAGGAAACCGTTTGATAATCCTGAACTGTGCCAGCACATCATTCCTGGGACTTCAACGCAACGAACACATCATTTCTGTGACTTCAGCACTCCGCATTGATGTAGCTGTTGCGCCCTGGCAGTCCGACATGCCAAAACGCCACCTTTGCGATGTTAGCCATGCTAATCCTTGAACCCCTTGTAAACTTTAAAACGATGGTGCGCGGCGCTAAGGCGAGAGCATCATCAATTGTGAGGAAGTCTTAGGCGAAACGCCCAGCCGGCCCTTTCGACCAGCCTTGGCGTGCGACAGGGAGGAGTGGTTCATAAGGAAACAGAAGTAAAGAGGAGCGGAAGGAGGAGAAGGAGGAGTACCAGGTGGAGGAGAAGGAGGAGGAGGAGGAGCAGGAGGAGGATTCGGGGGAGGAGGAGCAGGAGGAGGATTCGGGGGAGGAGGGAGGAGGAGGAGGAGGAGGAGGAGGAGAGGAGGAGGAGGAGGAGGAGGAGGAGGAGGAGGAGGATCAGGAGCAGGAGGAGGCGAGACATCAGCGGCGGGAGAGGCCAGGCGCGCGCGCGCGCTGCCAAAGGAGCGAGCAGAGCGCCGCCGAGCGGCGCAGCGCCCTCGAGCAGCGCGAGCGCTGCGAGCGGGAGCTGGCCGCGTGCACGTTCCGGCCGCGGATCGCCCACCTCGGCCCTCTCCTCTCGGGGGCCCTCGCGTCGGGAGAAAACACGGCGAATAGTGAAACAATAATCAGGGGATTTTTTGTTTTTTTTTTTTTGTTTCTCCGTTTTTTGTTTATTATTATCATTTTTGGTTTTGTGTTTTGAGCAATTTCCGAATCTGCGTATATAGACATATTATATATATATATGGATATACATGTATAGATACAAGAGTGTGCGTGTGTGTGTATATATATATATATATATATATTGTCACACTGTTTTTTCTCTCAAGCGTCCGCCTGTAGGAAGACGTGCCCGACCTGCTGCTGTTGTCGGCCTCCCGTGGCCCTCGCCGGCCGGGCCCCGCGGGGGGCCAGAGAAAGAAAGAACACAAAAGGACTCGGGCAGAGGAGCTGGTCCAGGGCGAGAGCCCCAGGGTCCCGAGGGCGCGTTTCTCAGCATCGTTTCACCGACCCCCCTTCCTATCCTCCTCCTCCTCCTCCTGCTCCTCTTCCTCCTCCTCCTGCTCCTCCTGTTCCTCCTTGTCCTCCTCCTCCTCCTCCTCATCCTCCTCCTCCTCCTCCTCCTCCTCCTCCTCCTCCTCCTCCTTCTGCCTCCTCCTCCTCCTCCTCCTCCTCCTCCTGCTCCTCCTTCCCCTCCTCATCCTCGTCCCCATCCTCATCCCCTTCGAGACCCCCCCCCCCAGATTGCCAGCCCAGTTGGGGAGACGCCCCTCGAAACCCGAAGGGAGCGGCCTACATCCCCACCCAGGGGGGTAAATCGGCCAGTGGGGCCCAGGCCACGCCGCTGGGGGTGGGGATCGGTCAAATGATGCTCAGTTTCGCCCCCCACCTCGCCCTCTCCCCCTCCCCCACCCGTCTCGGGAGCGTCCAAGACCCAGAGATCCAACGTATCGAACAAAAAACGACTGGATTTTTTCGCAGTTTTCGGCCTCCAGGGGCCCAATCCGAGCCTCGGGACCGTCAACGAACGACTCGGGATGAAAAGCAGGTCCTGGGGGATGGGTTGAGAGTTCCGGAGACCCCGTGTTGAATTATCCTGCGACGTACCCAACCCTTTCTACACAAGTGGCAATTGCATTCAGGACCACTCAATACCGAAGGACATTTCGGCGCCATGGTATAGTGGTGATCTGCGTAGGACGTACCTCCGCTGAGCCTCCCAGAAGCCCATGCGCGCCAGGTGAGCCAAGCGCGCCAGGCGCGCCAGGTGCGCCAGGTGCGCCAGGTGCGCCAGGTGCGCCACGTTCGCCAGGTGCACCAGGCGCGCCAGGTGCGCCAAGTGTGCGCCAGGTGTGCGCCAGGTGTGGGCCCGGTGTGCCAGGTGCGCCAGGTGCGCCCAGCGCGCCAGGTGTGCCAGGTGCGACAGCTGCGCCAGGTGCGCGCCAGGTGCGCGCCAGGTGCGCGCCAGGTGCGCGCCAGGTGCGCGCCAGGTGTGCGCCAGGTGTGCCAGGTGCGCCAGGTGTGCGCCAGGTGTGCGCCAGGTGCGCCTAGCGCGCCAGGTGCGCCAGGTGCGCCAGGTGCGCCAGGTGTGCCAGGTGCGCCAGGTGCGCCAGGTGCGCCAGATGCGCCATGCGCGCCAGGCGCGCCAGGTGCGCCAGGTGCGCCAGGTGTGCCAGGTGCGTCAGGTGCGCCCAGCGCGCCAGGTGCACCAGGTGCGCGCCAGGTGCTCCCAGCGCGCCAGGTGCGCCAGGTGGGCCCAGCGCGTCAGGTGCGCGCCAGGTGCGCGCCAGGTGCGCGCCAGGCGCGCGCCAGGTGCGCCAGTTGCGCCAGGTGTGCGCCACGTGTGCGCCAGGTGCGCGCCAGGTGCGCCAGGTGCGCCAGTTGCGCCAGGTGTGCCAGGTGCGCCAGTTGCGCCAGGCGCGCCAAGTGAGCCAGGTGCGCCAGGCGCGCCAGGCGCGCCAGGTGCGCCAGGTGCGCCAGGTGCGACAGGCGCGCCAGGTGCGCCAGGTCTGCGCTAGGTGTGGCAGGTGCGCCAGGTGCGCCCAGCGCGCCAGGTGCGCCAGGTGCGCCAGATGCACCAGGTGTGCCAGGTGTGCGCCAGGTGCGCGCCACGTGCGCCAGGTGCGCCAGTTGCACCAGGCGCGTCAGGCGCGCCAGGTGCGCCAGGTGCGCCAGGTGCGGCAGGTGCGGCAGGTGCACCCAGCGCGCCAGGTGCGCCAAGTGCGCGCGAGGTGCGCCCAGCGCGCCAGGTGCGTCAGGTGCGTCAGGTGCGCCCAGCGCGCCAGGTGCGCGCCAGGTGCGCGCCCGGTGCGCGCCAGGTGCGCGCCAGGTTCGCCAGGTGCGCCAGGTTCGCCAGGTGCGCCAGGTTCGCCAGGTGCGCCAGGTTCGCCACGTGCGCCAGGTGCGCCAGGTGCGTCAGGTGCGCCAGGTGCGCGCCAGGTGCGCCCAGCGCGTCAGGTGTGTCAGGTGCGCCCACCGCGCCAGGTGCGCGCCAGGTGCGCCAGGTGCGCGCCAGGTGCGCCAAGGGGACAGGGAGGCCTCAAAGTGGTCTGCGTAAAACGTACCTCCGCTGGGCCTCCCAGGAACCCACGGAAGTGGCGACAGTTGCGCAGATCGCAGCTCCGCAGGGGACAGGGAGGCCCCAAAGTGAACTGCGTAAAACGTACCTCCGCTGGGTCTCCCAGGCACCCACGAAAGTGGCGACAGTTGCGCAGATCGCAGCCCCGTTGGGGACGGGGAGGCCTCAAAGTGATCTGCGTAAGACGTACTTCCGCTGGGCCTCCCAGGAACCCACGAAAGTGGCGACAGTTGCGCAGATCGCAGCCCCGCAGGGGACAGGGAGGCCTCAAAGTGATCTGCGTAAGACGTACCTCCGCTGGGCCTCCCAGGAACCCACGAAAGTGGCGACAGTTGCGCAGATCGCAGCCCCGCAGGGGACAGGGAGGCCTCAAAGTGATCTGCGTAAGACGTACCTCCGCTGGGCCTCCCAGGAACCCACGAAAGTGGCGACAGTTGCGCAGATCGCAGCCCCGCAGGGGACAGTGATCTGCGTAAGACGTACCTCCGCTGGGCCTCCCAGGAACCCACGAAAGTGGCGACAGTTGCGCAGATCGCAGCCCCGCAGGGGACAGGGAGGCCTCAAAGTGATCTGCGTAGACGTACCTCCGCTGGGCCTCCCAGGAACCCACGAAAGTGGCGACAGTTGCGCAGATCGCAGCCCCGCAGGGGACAGGGAGGCCTCAAAGTGATCTGCGTAGACGTACCTCCGCTGGGCCTCCCAGGAACCCACGAAAGTGGCGACAGTTGCGCAGATCGCAGCCCCGCAGGGGACAGGGAGGCCTCAAAGTGATCTGCGTAGACGTACCTCCGCTGGGCCTCCCAGGAACCCACGAAAGTGGCGACAGTTGCGCAGATCGCAGCCCCGCAGGGGACAGGGAGGCCTCAAAGTGATCTGCGTAAGACGTACCTCCTCTGGGCCTCCCAGGAACCCACGAAAGTGGCGACAGTTGCGCAGATCGCAACCCCGCTGGGGACAGGGAGGCCTCGAAGTGATCTGCGTAAGACGTACCTCCGCTGGGCCCCCCAGGAGCCCACGAAAGTGGCGACAGTTGCGCAGATCGCAGCCCCGTTGGGGACGGGGAGGCCTCAAAGTGATCTGCGTAAGATGTACCTCCGCTGGGTCTCCCAGGAACCCACGAAAGTGGCGACAGTTGCGCAGATCGCAGCCCCGCAGGGGACAGGGAGGCCTCAAAGTGATCTGCGTAAGACGTACCTCCGCTGGGCCTCCCAGGAACCCACGAAAGTGGCGACAGTTGCGCAGATCGCAGCCCCGCAGGGGACAGGGAGGCCTCAAAGTGATCTGCGTAAGACGTACCTCCGCTGGGTCTCCCAGGAACCCACGAAAGTGGCGACAGTTGTGCAGATCGCAGCCCCGCAGGGGACAGGGAGGCCTCAAAGTGATCTGCGTAAGACGTACCTCCGCTGGGCCTCCCAGGAGCCCACGAAGTGGCGACAGTTGCGCAGATCGCAGCCCCGCAGGGCACCTCGAACACAGGAGAGAAGAAGGAGGAGAGGGCTGGAGGTGGATACCACAGTTCTCTTTTCAAGACGAGTGCCCAACACAAGGAGGGTTGGGAAAAACTGACGACGTCGAATCTCTGGGGATGGGGGTGTCGACCAGGGCTAGGACGAGGATGCAAAAATCTATTCCGGAGCGGTCCCGAACGCTCTCAGAGCTTGCCAAAACACTCGGAGAAGGCAGCGGCGCCCGACTCATCCCCCAGAGCCGCCGTCTCTCAGAGATTCTCGATTTATCCTTGCCCGATTTTATATCCTCGTCCTGGCATCGTCTTAGGGTGAGGACATACTCAGGCCCCCTCGGAGAAGACGGCTCGGGATGAAGAGCTGGCCCAGGGGGAAGGGGGGGGTGCAGGACCCGTTCCTCTCAGGTCCGTTTCTCCTTCGTGCCAAGGGCAGGGCCTGAGGTCCCAAGATGGGGTCCTGAGGGATGGGGCTCTCAGGGCGAGGTGCCTCAAACAGCGCAAATCCAGCCTTGGATCCCTTCTTATACTTAGGGTTGTGGAGAACGATCAATAGAGAGGAAGCATGTCGCCAAATAGTGCCCAGATGTCTAAAACATGTTTTAAGCATGCAACAAACATGTAAACACATGTTTAGAACATGTCTCCGACGTTGAAACACATCTTACATTCAATGGTAGGACGGTTAGGGTGTCCATTGCCGTGGCGTCCACAACCTGAGGGCCCTATACCTCCGGACCTCGCCTTTGAAAACCGCCGCAACGGGGGTGAGGGCCTATGGCCGGGAACGTTTTCTCTTAGCGCGCCGCGCCGACGAATTCTGGGCTGCCGCGCCCAGGCGCGGCACGCTGACCACGTTTCGGCCCCCAGCCGGAGGACGCCCGGCCAGGAGCGCGTGCTCAGCGTGTCGCGCCCCGGGCTCTGGCCCACCGCGCCTCGGCGCGGCCCCGCCGCCCACGCTCCGGCCCCCATCGGCGTCGGCGCCCCGGGCGGTTCTCTCCCCGCCGCCGGTCCCGCGGGGCAGAGCGCCGCGCCGTCGGCTTGCAGGGTACGGCGTGCCGCAGGGGCCGCCGCCGCGACACGCTGGACGGCAGGTGCTTCACCGTGGGGTCGGGAGGGGATGGCGGAACGCGCGCTTCGCGTGCTTCCAGCTGGTCGGAAGAACAGGCAAGAAGGGGAGTGTGAGGGGCTTGGACAGCCAGAGGCCCAGATCTAATTGCCTTGGTTGCCTCCCAAGAGGCCTCTAGAGGCCTCAAGATAGCCCAAGGCGGTCCAGGATGGCTTCCAAGAGGGCTCAAGAGTGATGATGGAAAGTGCGCGTAGCGTGGCGATCCTCCAGCCGGGAGAAGTAAAAAGAGGGAGTATGAGGGGGTTGGCCTCGGCGGCCCCAGATGTAATCGCCCAATTCTTGGTCATGTTCGGCCCTAGACGGCCCGAGTCAGCCCCAAGAACGCCTCAGAGGGCCCCAATACGGCCCAAGACAGCTCCAAGAGCGCCCAAGCTACCTCCACGACGGCCTTAGGGAGGCCCAAGCGGGCCCCAAGACGGCCCAAGAGGGCACCAAGACGGCCCAAGATGGCCTCAAGACGGATCCGTAGCCATTTTGGCTCAAGCGCGGCTGCAGCAGCGCGCAGTCCGTTGGGCAAACCACCATTACACAGGACGGCCAACTGCGCCCCAGCATAACCCATAGCGTTCGCCAGAATGGCAACGCTCACGGCGGTGGCGCGGGCGCGGCATCAGACGCTCCTTGCGAGGCAGGCGGAGCCGCGGCAGCCGCGGCACAGGCGGGCCCCAACGCCGCGGGCAGGTTGTGCCGAGGTGGCCGAGGACGACGGAGGCAGGGAGCGCCGAGGCGGCCGAGGATGCACGCTGCAGCAGCGCGCGAGGACCGCTGGCAGGCCGCACCGAGGTGGAGTGGCCCCCGCCACAGCCCAGCGCGGCGGCACAGCGAGTGTGAGGTCGTCCATGCACGGCGTTCAGCGCCGGGCCCACGACCCGACGGAGAACGACGCGGCGATCGCGGCCTGCCTCGCGGAAGCCGATTTGGCGGAGCGCAGTGTCTCTCGGGACGAGTGGGTCCAGAGCGCAGAGCAGGGCATCCTGGCTCGCAGTTTCGACGGGGACCTGTCGATGGAGGAGCTGGACAGGCAGCGGCGCGCGATGCGGCGCTTCGAGATTCGTGCGACGCTTGCGGCGCGCGCCAGAAGGCGCAGCGACGGTGCAGACGCTGGGTTCAGCTTTAGCCCGGGTGATAGGGAGGCCAGAGAGCCGCGCGCAGGCGCAGGCCGCACACGGCAAGGCGCTGCAGCCGGCGGCGCCAACCAGGAGGTCTGCTGCGCTTGCATGGACCGCGAGGCGAACGCGCTGCTGGTGCCGTGCGGCCACCGCACGGTGTGCGTCGGCTGCGCCAGAAAGCTCGTCCCACCGAGGTGCCCTGTATGCCGGTACGAGGTGCAGCAGATATCCGTGATCGGGTGAGGGCCTGGCCCGCGAGCCGCCAATCCGAGATCGGCTTCGTTGCATGCCAGCGCAGCACGCTCCGATCTGGTCCTCGTGCCTCCCCCTTTTGGGGAGGAGGGGCGAGGGTCACACTTAGTCGCAGACGGTTCTTTGAGAGGACCATCTGCGATTAAGTGTGACCCTGCTCTGCTCAGGACGTACTTTCAATCGAATGCATGTCGGTGGGGGTGCAAACTGCAGCTGGTGCTGTTGAGCACGTCCGAAGCCGATCGACGACGGACGATGCACAGTCGTTGATCCCTTACTCGCTGAACGATGCCGGAGGTAGTTGGCGTGATTCCTTTTGTGCGTCTTCCTTTTGCGCAGCTCAATAGTTTGATCTTCGAACTCGAATTGGCATTGTCTGGGCAGGTATGTTTTCTTATATTTGTCACGGAAGGGTCGTTCTAATCAGGTGAACGCTGATCGCTGTTGTGCTTTTATTCGACATATGGGGTATGGTAGACTCCGCGACGTTCTCAGTGTGCGAAGGGAGAAAATAAAAGATGGCCTCCAGACGGTCAAAGGGGGCCTCAAGATGCTCCACGAGGCCTCCACAAGGACGCCCAGGAGGCACAAGTCGTCCGATTCCCTTGCGAAAGCGTGACTTTTAGCATATCTGCTTTTTTTTGGTTCTCACAGCGTCCACGACAGCCCAAGAGGCCCCCAGGATCGCCCCAAGACGGCACAATAGGCTCCCAGGATCGCCACAAGGAGGATGAGGAGGATGAGGAGGGGGATGAGGAGGAGGAGGAGGAAGAGGGGGAGGAGGAGGAGGAGGAGGAGGGGGAGGAGGAAGAAAAAGAAGCAGAACACTCATCTGACGAAGATTAATGATACGACTAATAATAGTGCTAAGAAGAATAAGAAGAACAGTACCACGAATACTAAGAATATTCATAATAATACGACTAAGCATAATAATCATAGTACTGATGATAGTAATACCAAGAATCATAATAATAACGAGGAGACTACAATAATGATAAGAATAGTAATACGAACAATAAACATAAGAAGAGGAGGATGAGGAGGAGGAGGAGGATGAAGGCGGGCAGAAGGAGCGCTGATGGTCCCTTCTTGGGTCTGTTTGGGCCATTTTGGAGTTGAGGCAGGCCAAGGAGTTTGGCCTATCGGTTGCGTCAATGGGAGATTGCGCAGCCGCTTGGAGCTGTCTTGGAGTGGCCTTGGGGCCTCTTGGAGGCATCTTTGAGGCCATCTGGAGCCATCTTGGGATATCTTAAGCGATCTTGGAGGACATCTTGGACTTTCTTGGACCATCTTGGACGCTCTGTCGGACGCGGCCCCTTCCCGTCCAGACCGAGGGGAGGGGGTAGGTTGAGGGATTGAGGCAACTCTCCCAGACGCAAATTGCCTGGCTCATTCCCACCCGTTCGCTCATGAATGCACTAGTGGTACCGGAGCCTTAGCATCTTCAGCGGTCGTCTTTGGATGGGCAGCTATATCGGGAACCTGCACAGAGCGGACAATCTGAGGGCACTCCCACCATCCATATCAGAGACCATGGCAACGCGATCGCGGGGCGACCGCGCATGATACAGATTTAGGTGCAAGGTGCACGCCATATTGCTTTCTTTTGCAAGGGATGGTGGGGAGAGGGCCCCCATGGTCCTGGGTTGGCCCCGTTCGGGTGTGGGAGGAGGTGTGTACTGATAAGGGAACAGTGACCCAGCGATCCTCCCCGAACGGCCGTCTGGCTCACTCCCACCCGCCCTCCCGCCACAGGAGTAGCACCCGCGTCTCAGCTTACAGTCAACCCGCAGAGTAAGGATGTCCAACCTTCCCAAGGGTACCCTTGGCATCCTTCCCTCTTCGGCCCGTCCTTACCACTTTCGTTGGCCGCGCCCCGCTCGAGAAGCCTCGACATTGCCTGCCAAGGCCGGCCCTGGCATCCTTACCGCGCATTTTATGATACGGGTTGGCTGTAGGCAGGGGCCGCCCTCGCCTACCACCAGCAAGTACTGAGGACGCCAGCCAGGTGCGCGACGTCCGCGGTGTGCGCTGCACGTGCCAGGGCATACCCATCATCCTCGTGTGCGTTTTCTTATCCGGCGTTTCGACATTGCGCGGCAGGGATGGGGGGAGGGGGAGGGGTCTGGCTCCGGACCTCTGCTTAACGCGACTGTTTGCAACAGTGCGTCCTCTGGGGGAGACCCCACCTGCTGGAAATAGGCGCACAGAAACAGGCAAAATCTATTCCATGGGGGGGAGGCGCGAGGACCCGCGCCGATGGGCAAAACAATGAACACAAGAGCGACCACTTTGTCAAATAACAACGCCGGATGCTCGCAGGGCGCCCGCGCATTGCCGCAACGTGCGCCTTGCATGTGGTTTTAACAGGGGGTGGTGGGGCTGCGCACGCGGGGCAGAATGATACCCCCTCGTTCCTGCCACAAAAGAGACCGAGACGTGCCCAACCCCTTCCCTCCACGCGAGGCGACGATTTATATGAACTTCTTTCGTCGGCGGCGAGGCAGAGTCAGTCCGCACCAGCGTGGGGCTAAATCAACAACTGCTTATATGAGCACGCTCCACACCAAAGAACACGCTGCGAGGATCATCTATTCAGCTGCGCCTCCCAGGAGCCCACGAACGTGGCGACAGTTCGCAGCTCGTAGCCTCCCAGGCAGCCGCGACGTCGCGCCTGCCTGCAGCATTCGCTGGACCTCCCATGAGCCCTCGAAAGTGGCGACGGTTGTGCAGTTGGCAGCCTCCCCGGGAGCCGCTGGGTCTCGCCTGCCTACCGCGTCCGCTGGACCTCCCAGAAGCCCTCGAACGTTGCGACAGTTGCGCCGTTGCCAGCCTCCCTGGGAGCCGCTGGGTCTCGCCTGCCTACCGCGTCCGCTGGACCTCCCAGAAGCCTACGAACGTTGCGACAGTTGCGCAACGTTCGTGCGGGGGGAGGGTGAGGAGGAGGAGGAGGAGGAGGAGGAGGAGGAGGAGGAGGAGGTGGTGGAGGAGGAGGAGGAGTAGGAGGAGGAGGAGGGGGAGGAGGAGGGGGAGGATGAGGAGCAGAAGGAGGAGGGGAGGAGGAGGAGGAGCAGGATGATGATGATGATGATGATGATGATGATGCTGCTGATGATGCTGATGATGCTGATGATGCTGACGATGATAATGATGATAATGCTGATGATGATGATGATGCTGATGATGATGCTTATGATGAGGAGGAGGATGATGAAGAGGAGAAGGGAACGCTCAAGCAGTGCTTTATTCAAGACGAGAACCCAGCACATGAGGGTTGGGAACAATGCCAGATAGAGGAGGCGGGAGGCGAAGAGTGAAAGCAGGAGCCGGAAGAGGAGGAGGAGGAGCACGAATAATAAGAGCAGTAACCGTAAATATCATATTGCGAACAATACTCAGACGACTAATACTGCTATTAATTTATTATTATTATTACTACCACTATTCGTATTATTATTACTATTACTAATAAGAAAAGAGCAGGACGAAGAGCGCGGTGCTCTAGTCAAAACGAGAGCCCAGCTCAGGCGGGTTGGATAGTTCTGCAGAGTGACCGTGGGGCGCCCGAGCAGGATGCAGACCTACGGTGGAGACCCCTGCCGAGAAGCACCCTGCTCGCCTCCAGGGTGCCCCGGGTTTCCTCGGTTTCGATGGTTTTACTCTGGAGGAGGAGGAGGAGGAGGAGGCCCATGCCAAGAAGCACCCCGCTCGCCTCCAGGGTGCCCTGGGTTTCCTCGGCTTCGATGGGTTTTACTCTGGAGAGCGTGCCGTTCCCGCACCAACAAATCGAGGGGCGTCCTGGGGTCTCGGGGTTAGTGTCTTGTGGAAGGTTTCTTGTGGACTGGCCTCCACTGTAACCGCTAAGAGCAGATTGATATTATGGATATGGATGGTGGGGCGTGGGAGGAGCTGGTAGAGTGGGGGGGGGCGGGTGTACATGTCACAAACGTGCCCCTTCCTGAATTGAAAGAGTGAGGCCGGAGGAGGGAGCGCACTGAACCACTTCTGCTCAGATTGCTGCGGGGCTCCATCCGTCGAGCGTCCTGGGCCCAGGGCTTTCAGCCTGGGTAGTGCTTGACGGTCCTGGGGCCCAGGAGGGGCCCGGAAGCCTGGCACTTGTGAACAGCCCCGACGGCTCGTCTCCATTCATGCTAGCCGATCTGGCGGACCGAGGATGACGGATCTTCGATATTTCTGGTGTCTTTTTCGGCCTTCGGAGCTTTCTGGAGGCATCGAGGATCAGGGGTCGTGGACGTTTGTTGACACAGTGGGTGCACAGAAAACAGCCTGCCAGTAGCTGCCCCACGATAAATTTCTTATCTCGCGATGGCCCTGACGACCTACAGAAGCCCCGGGCCAATCTTAGAAAGTCCAGGGAAGCACGAAGGTCGTGCCCTTAGATTTCTTATCGCGAGATTTCTTACGTACGTACTTGCTGCTGTCCTGTTTTCTTCCATGCGGGGCCGCCCCAGGGGCCGAACACGACGAAGGTCCTCCGAGCTTCGAAGAAGAAAAATAACGCTATGGACATAATTTTTTGGCGCTCCGCGCGGATTTTTTGGATCTGCGCTGGGCTCCCCTCCCTGGCGCACGGAGCGCGCAAGGGGCGGCGCCGGAGGCGCCGCCAGGGGTGCCCCAGCGCAGATCCAAGCAGTCCGCGCGGAGCGCCAAAAGTTTATGTCCATAGCGTTTTTTCTTCCTCGACCCCCATCTGCTGGAGTTCTGGAGGCCTCCGGGGGCCTCCTCGAGCCCTCCGTGGGGCCCCCCCCCCGGACGGATCGCGGGCCCTTTTTGTGTGTGGCTCCCGGCGGCAGGATCAACGGGGACCCGCCGCGCTTCGTGCGGCGGCAGGCAGAGTGCCACCGCGCGCGCCGCCAGGAGAAGGAGAACCAGGAGCCCCCCGCGTCCGTAGCCATTTTTCGGCGGCGAGCGAGGGGGGGAAGTGAGAGGGAGAAGGCCCTCTCAGAAGGCGGCGCGACTTCTCAGAAGCCCTCGCGCCTTCTGAGAAGTTTTCGGTGTCTTTCGGGGAAGGCCAAGAACATTTCTCAGAAGGCCGGGGCACTTCTCAGAAGGCACTTCCCTGGAAGGCCGCTACCCTCCGCCCGTTTTACCCTTTTTGGCCTCCTCGGAGGCCCTCGTCGCCGCTGCTGGATTCGCTTCGGAATTCTGGTCAGGACGCACCCCAGGAGAGGTCCAGGGAGTAGCGGTATTAGTACCTTTCGGTCTCCCCAGAGCCTCCGCGTCCGTAGCCGTTTTTTAAGAAGAAACAGCGGCGTAAACATACACTTTTGGCGTTCTGCGGGGATTTTTCGGATCCGCCGCTGCGGCCTCACCTGGGCGGCGCCTCCAGCGCCGCCCCTGGCGCGCTCCGCGCGCCAGGGAGGGGGTTCTTGCGCGCATCCGAGAAATCCGCGCGGAGTGCCACAAGTTTATGTTTATGCCGTTTTTTATCATTTTATTTTGGGCTCAAACCAGTCACCGCCAAGCATGTTCGTCGAAGAAGAAGATACACCA